CCAGCCCGAGCCCGCGAGGCCCACCGCCCGGCCGCGGCGGCGGAGGCGGCGGCGGAGGCGGAGCGTGTGCGTCACGCGTCACGTGTCACGCGTGAGGAGACGTTCACTCGGGCCTCTGTCTCCGCGCAGCTAAGCTTCGCGAGCGCCCGGCTCGTCCTCGAGTTCGCCCGGACGCTGCTGGCCCCCGGCCCGCGCGCGGGGGGCTTCGTCACGGACAGCGGCCACGTGCGGGAGCTCCTTCTCCTCCTGTCCGGGCTCCTGGGTGCCACCGCCCGCGAGCCGTCCAGGGACCTGGACCGCCTGCGTGAAGAAGGGGTCAAGGCCATCTCGGACGTGCTGGTGGTAGGTCGCGCTTCGCCCTGGGCCGTGGGCGGCCGCTCCCGCTGCGGGACGGTCACCTGCGTCTGTGGCCGAAAACACGCTCGTTCCCCGAGTCCCGCGCTCACTCTGCTGAGCGGCGGTTCGAGGCTCGGAGATTTTCGCGTTAACCTTTAAATGCGTCGTGGGAACACGGAGATGTCCCCACTGGGACGCGCTTCCGCCCAGCCCCCGCGTTTCGGGGGGTCCTGCTGGGGAGCTCGGGCCGCGGAAACTTCCGTCACGGGAAGTTCTGAGCTTGAGGAACGCAGGGGCCGATGCAGACGGTTCCAACGTGCATCCCCGTGAAAAGCGGCCGGAGCGAAGCCGCCAGAGCTCGTCTCGTTTGCGTTTGCCGCGGGCATTGTCTCGGGGTGACTCGGGTTCCTCCACCTCAGGAAACGCCAGCACTTTCCAGAAGCTTCTGTCTCTCCTCTCTCCCCATTTATCCCTCCACCCCCTGCTGGTTTACTTAGCCGATGGTGTGATATTGGGGACATTAGGGAATTAGTAAGTGCTCAGTCTGGACCTGGTGACAGCAACGAGCTCATGTAGAAACTGCACTGTCCCCGGGCACCGCCGTGAGGCCCCCGTCGGGCCCGTGTGGGATGAAGGCCGTCGTGGTGGTCAGCTCCCTGTGGGTGGGCCGAGAGCCCTAAGCGTGGTGGCTGTCACATGGCAGCTGTCACAAAGGGAACAAACACCACAGCAAGAGCTGTCAGAACGAAAGCAAACGTGTCGTCACTTCCCAGTGAGCCCGAGCCGCCCATTCGGGATGCCCACCCCTCCCGGCCCCGGGTCCCGGCCGGCCGGGCGCTGACCGTGGGCGTGTGACCTGCTGTTCCAGGGCGGCCTGCTCTCCAGCACCGAGCG